GACAACATTAAAAAAGGATCTAAAAAATAGAAAAGGGCATATAAAATTATAAATAAGTACTCTATAAAAAAAATTAATATTGATTTTGTCCTTAAAATAATGATTGATCAAAACCATATTTTGATCTTTCATTTGGTTAAGAAATACTTCCTCTATTAAAAAATATAAGGCATTTTTTGAGAAGTTGGATGTTAAAAATGTAAGGTATTTTTACTCTTTTGAGGTGTAATTATTATCTTTTTTTTAAACTGTCCCTATTGATATTGACTTTATATTTATTATAGAGTATTTAATAGGGGTAAATATGAAAAGATAGAGTTAGTTTGAAGGTAGATAATTATTTTATTGGAGGGTGAGATTCAGTTAAAAATGTTTTATATTTTTGAACGGATGGAGTAACATTTTATTTTTTATTTATATGTAATTTAGAGGACTTTATGATATTAATTTTTTATATAATATTTATATTTAATTTTACAGGTTATTTTTATAATTTTATAATTTTTATAATTTTTAAATTAACTAACAGTTAAAGTTAACGTTTTTAAGGTTTGGGTGCTTAATATATTATTTTTAAATATTAAAAAAAATTACGTTATATAAAAAGTTTATGATATCGATGCTTTTGGGTGAGTAATTAAAAAATAAAATCATCTTTTTACCTTGAAGAGAACACTCAACCCTTTATATCGATTGCCAACTCTATCAATTGGTTTAGATTTTACCAACTCTATCAATTGCCAACTCTAAATGTCTACTGTTGGCTATGATTTTCTGTCAATCGATGTCTATAAATCAAGCGAACATTTGTATTTAAATTCTCTTTTTCACATTTCGTGTACTGTTGCATGAACTAGGGACACCATTATGAGCCACCATTTTGATTCACTCAGGATTGAACATTTGGTTCTTCCTTAACGAATTTGAGTGTGGTCTTTGCTAATTGAGACCATTTGGGTCTTCTAATTTTTCCTTCAGAAATGCATATTTTTATGAATTTTCACTCTTTTTCATTTTTTTTATCATGACTTTTCGCATCATCTAATTCCTTCTCTTCTACACCGCATTCCTTCACTTAATTCTTTACTTGCTTCACTAAATGCTCAACTCCCAACTACTATAGAAAAATATATTTTTTTGAAAAACTTGGTTTAGATGCCATTTGTCTTTTAAGTTTTTTTTTTTTATTTTTTGGGAAACATTGGGCACCTATACCGTGTAGTCATCATTTGTTTAGAAACTTATCATTTTTTTCATTATTTGTCAACATGGAATGATTGTAGAGCCCATTTACTGTGATAATAAGATATTTTGACTTATCTTATTATCGTTTTGTTGCTAAAATTTTCTACCACTGTCACTTTCAATTTTTTTGGCCCGCATTAGGTGATCAAAATAGATCTAAATGCTTTTTTGTCATTGTGCGTCAACTATTCTACTATAGTAGATAAAAAGAAAAGATAATGGATTTTTAGTAAAAGTGTAATTTTATTCCTGAAAAAATTATTTAGAGAAAAATTACCTCACATTTCTGAATAAGATACTCAATATTTAAAAAAAAAAATAGTTCAAGAACAAAAATTATCTTTAATCAAAAACAAAAATTCTGAGGTTCACAGGGACAGGCCATTTTAAATAAAAGGTCACCAAGAAGAAACTATCATCACCGTACCCTGCCAGCTCTGATCCATTTGTTTTTCACAACTGCATGTGGTCACATGTTCAAGAAATCTCAAGGGTAATTATGAGAGACTGTGAGATCAACTAGAGTAACATCTTCAGATAAGTATGACGCGTATAATGCTTGCAGTATGGACAGTGAGACTATAGTTATGATAGAGCATTTAATAACGGACACATGTCTTTGGGTTTATCAGGGCCGTGTCAAAAGATTTTATGGTCTGAGGCAAAATAAATAAAAAAGCTTAACATATAATAGATTATTAATCCTTATATTATTTTTTTTAGCTTTTTAAGTTGTAAAATTAAATAATAAAATTTTGTAATTGAGTAATTATAATATTTCACTCTTAATAAATAATAAAGCTAGTCCATTTCAATTAATTTTGTAACATATTTAATTTTAAATAAAATTTGAACAAACTTTAATTTTGAAAAGCTTTTTTTTACAGTAGCAACTGTTATAAGTATTATTAATAATATTTTATAAATAATATATATATTTGAAAAAATATCTAATCTTTTGACATAGTTTAATATTTCAACTGGTGTGTTAATTTCTTATGTTAATATTTCTCTCAAAAATTTTAATTATGAAAATAAATCAAAACTATCAATATCATAATTGTCATTAAAACTTGAGAATAATATTAATACAAATTTTTTTTAATTCATCATCATCCAAATTTTTAAATTTTTTGGATTCAAATAAAAAATAAAAAATGATTTCATATTGTAATAATTATTCAAATAGACTCTCAATAGAAGAAATTGATTGATCTCAAATATAAAAAAAAATACCTAATATGAAAAAAATCTTCAGCTGAATGTATGATCTCATCACTAATATTTTCATTAAAATATTTTTTCCTATGATTATACATTTTTCAAGAAAATTAGGATTTATGTTCATTTTAGTAGCTCTATTTTTTTGTAAATTCCAAAGTAGATGCAAAACCATTCTCTATAATTCTTTAAATAAGTAATAAAGCCTTTTAAATGATTTATAACAACATCTATGTGCATATCTATGGACTGAAAAATCTTACAAAGTATAGAGAATTATAATATGTAGAAAGAGAATAAATAATGATTAATGTCTAGATTAAGACTAACCTAATAATTAAATATTATTTTAGGAATGCGGAAATGTTTTCATTCTTCAATGAAGAGAAAAGGTGGGGTTTTATTTTTTTCATTTAACATTTATTATAAAATTATATAAATATATATTCCTTCATATTAGGGATATCAATGAAATTTTTTGGGACCTTAGGCAATTGTTTTGATTGCCTTGAAGCTCCCACGGCCTTGGGGTTTATCTGTTATGAATTTTACTTTCTTTTGTGTTTGTTTGGATATGCTTACATGATCAATTGCATGTAACAAAACCATGGTTTCAGTGAAAAACACTCAAACACTTCCATTTTTTCACAATCAATTATTTCAGTCCAAACCACGTTTTTGCCAAAGTTGATGGGAGTAGCTTCTAGATTTCAACTCCACTGTTATATATATATATATATATATATATATATATATATTTATTTATTTATTTATTTATTTATTTATTTCTTGTCTGATATTTCACTTTCCAAATATATTCCTTAATTATTGCATATATATTACTGTTCTTTTTTCACCTCACATTCGCTGGAACTGCTCCCATAATGGATCCTTTGGTTAAATTTTACCATGAATCTTGGCTTGGCCTTGTATGTAGAGCGAGATGGATGACCTTCTCTTTTGTTTGATGATCCCGTTTTTAGCCTTAAAAATTATGGATTATTTTATTTAAACTTAGATATATTGATTTATTTTTTTTTACTTACATCAATGTATTGATATTACTATATAAAATAATTTAAATTTCTATAATTAATCATGTATATATTATTTTATCGATTATTACATTTAAAGAGCCAACGTCTTTTATAGTAATTCAAATATCTAAAATTAATTTTTACTCAATTATTTAAACATCTTTAATTTTATTAAAATCAATTTTAAAAAAATAAGATCCGAACATTATGACATTATGACTTAATCAATTATAATCAAAATTAATCTTGTTAATCAAATTTTTTTATAATTAGTTTTACCTCACTGAAATCCAAATACATTCTTTTCTAACCCCAAAAAAACTACATACATCGATCGAGAAGCTCCTTACCACGCAACGCTAATATATGTATCTGTGTTAATTGGACACGATACAATACTTTTAAAAATTTTAGGATGATAGTACACACAAATAAGTATGTCTAAGTACATAAATTTTACCCATAATTAAAAAATTATATATTTAAAAGTATTTTTTTAGATATTATCTTTTATAGATTATTATATATTCTATAACAGATTCTAGTTATTAAAGATATAAAGACAAGTAAATAAGTCTTGCCCATCAATATATTAACTCACTAAAAGCTAAAACAAGTATTATTAATTATCAGTTATTAATTTGTTTAAAAATCGTAGATTGAATAACAAACAATAAGAATGAATAAAATTTTCACAAAAATTTATAGATAAAATATGTTATTTTTCCCTAAATAAAGATGTTATTGGATAAAAAAAAAGTTGGAATATTATATTATCGCAAATATCCATGAGATTTTTTGTTTGCAATTCTCACCTCATAAACCCATGGGCAGGGAATTTGGTCTTTTGATATTTTAAAACTTCCTTTCAATTGTTAAAATGTATATCCTAAATAAAAATCATTTCGTTATGGTATCATCGATTGTTTTCTCCCACACTAAACTTACTTTTAAAACTTAGTTCCAATTTCTTTTCAATTCCCGTTTTCATTCCATAAAAAATTCTTTCTATTTTGGTCTCTCAAAACTTCAAAAATTAAATCTTCTGGCCCTAGAAATCAAAATAATTTAAATTTTTAAGTTTTTTATTATATAATTTATTATAAATTTTAAATATTATATACTTTCTTTATTAAAAAATATAAGGCATTTTTTGAGGAGTTGAATGCTTAAAAATATAAAATATTTTTAATATTTAAACATATAATGTCCTTAATAAATAAATTACTTTATATTTATTTTAAAATAAAATTTTTTATTAAATAAAAATAAATATAAAAATAATATTAATTTAAAATTAATTAAAAAAATTTAATTAAAAATACTTTACGTATAATACAAAAAGACACGAATATTTCTTATTTTTCATGGTCAATACAAAAGCTCTTGCCCGCACAGAAGCCGGGCCCCAAAGCGCGAACCCGATAAAATCCCTGTCAAAGCGCCAATTTAAATTTGATTTCTCTTGTCTCTGCCAGTCTTCTTCTTCTTCCCTGAAATGCGATCTCGCTTCCTTAATGTTGACTACTTTAGTCTCACTCCATCCGATTCCAGAGAAACCCTAACCTTCCTCTATCTCCCTGTCCCTTGCCTCTCATTTCCTCCTCGCTCCACCGTCCAAGACCACCTCCAGTTCCGTTCGACCCTCCATGGTTCCCTTCACATCGAGAAACTTTCGATCGATGATGCTCTCTCCAAATTCCTATCCGGTGTACTGCCCCACAGAATCGATGTTGATTTCCAAAACTTTGAGGCAGCGTTGCCTTCAAGTCATAATTGTTTATCATCTTCCAGCTTTGGAATTGCTGAAGCTCGGATTTCTCAGGTAAGAAGCTGATGCTTATGTTCATCATATTTCCTTGTTTTTCTCTCATTTCTTTTCCTGTTTTGATGACCGTATTGATGGATTCTTGTACTTCTTGATGCCGGAAAGTTTAACATGAGGAAATATGAGTTCCGATTTTGTTTCAGTTGAAATGGATTTACATGTTCTGTTATTATTGGATCACTTTCCAATTTCGAATTCTTACTGTGAACGAAAAGCTGGTGAGGTATATACTGAATACATTTTCGCTTTTTGGTAATTTTGATTCCATGGTGGCAGGAAGCAATGGCTGTATTCGAAGAAAATGAGACGGAGAACCGCCGACTTTTGGATTCAGGAGCTGATATTGAATTCTCAGACGTACAGTACTTTCAAAGTGCTAATGTTGTTTTACATTCAGTGTTCTCTGCATGTCGATTTCCTGAAATTTTAGTATATTTGTCCTCAGGAAAGGAACACTGCTCTTATTGGAAAGGATGAGAGCATATGTGATATGACTCAATTCGAAATGCCTGAGCTGGATTTACTTCTGGTGAGAGAGATATATGAAGCACCTGGCTACCCGAGCATTTATCTTGATATTGAATCTTTAATTAAACAGTTTTCTGTGTATTAAAGGGAAATGGTTGCTTCCCTGAGGAGGTGGTGATGCAAATACTGGATGAAACTTCAGAGAAAGAAAGTAATCTGGTAAATGCTTTACAACGCATCATAACTTATAACTACCAATTTTTAGTCCACTATGTGTTTAAAATTAAATGTGTCCTTCCGAATTTAGTATATTGAATTATATTATTGAAAAATTCTAAGAAACACATAACTTTAAGTTTTTGTACTTTATTTGCGTTTTGCTATTGATTGCTATATTTTTTTTTTAGTGTTTTTGATCTTTGTATTTTTATTTTTCACTGTTTGAGGTCCTTCTATGAATAATGTACAGGGATCTTGAAAGGACCTAAAATAATGAAAAATAAAAATTTAGGGATCAAAAATATAAAAAAAAAGTATAGAGATTAATAGCAAAATATAAGTAAAATACAAGAACTTAAAATTATGTTTTCCTAAAATTCTATGAAGTTTTCTCCAGTACTCGGTAAATATTGCCAGAGATATTCCCTAATTCTTATGGAATGCAAGATATGGATGATATATTACTGGACAGATGGCGTTCTCTGTAGCTTTTCAAGATTTTTATGATTTTTAAAAATGCATATCATGCCATTCTTCTTCTTCTTCAATACAAACTGGCACAATAACACAGATTTTTTTTTTTTTTAACATAAATGGAACTATGGAGCTGTTCTGCTTGGTGATGCAAGCAATTTAATGCTACGTGCTGGAGGCTGCAACTGCATTTCTAGAATGGCTATAGAAACATTCGCTTCTTTTTTGGTTTTAAATGGCATTTGAAGCATTTAGGGGAAGCACAGTTCCGTAAAAGAAACATCGTCATTGGATTAGCTGATCCATGTTGATAAAACCTTTGATTTGAATTGCCAAATTGCTATAGGTTTGGAATATTGCAGTGCGTCCATATATAAACTGATTATAAATAGAAGTTTTACGGCTTTCCTTTTAACAAATTCTCTTCAAAATATTCTTATTACCAAGTTTTTTACTGGAGTCTGTTTTCCTTTCAGGAAATGCTCAAGTCTGGGCTCTCAATGCAATTTCCTGATGAGCTTCTGCGTTCGATATCCTTAGTTGAACATATTAATTTAGATTACTTTGCAGGGCAAAATTCTTATTCTTCAGAAAATTTTATGCCTCTTCCAAATCTGCCAAAATTTGGTCAAAGCAAATTTCCTATTCTGGAAGTTGATGAGGAAAGTCTGGGAATTCCTACATTCTCACGTATGGAGGAAAATGTGGGTTCATATTTTGATGACATAGGACCTCAAAATATGGGTGAAACATATTCTGTCATGGAGCACAAGGAGATTTTGGGTGGCATGAACTGTAACACAATGGACTTTCTCTCAGTTTACTGTCTATCAAAGCAAAGCGTAGTATTACCCGACATGCTTCATGAAATGGACTTTATTACTATATTGGAAACTGAAAATTTTCCTGGGAATCCTGCCCTGGCAGGGAAATCACAGTCAGATATGATTACTTTCCAGGAAATCCTGTTTATTGATGAGAATTCAATTCAAACATTTGAAAGCTTTTATAACTCAAACTTGATGGATGATCCGGTAACAAGTGAATTTATTTTTGAGAAGGATTTTAATTTCAAGGACTTCGATGAATTGATTATTACTAATGAGATAGCGCTAACGGATGATGCATTCAAGTCACTACCTGTACCTGTTATCTCCGATTATGGAAAGATGAGATCTCTGTATGTATTCGTTGAAGAAAGGCTTTCCAATTTGAAGACACAACCCCAATGTACATCTGACAGTATATACTTGAACTGGGATTTACTGGAAGAAGACAAAAGAAATTTCAATCTCTATCACTATTTTCAGAACATGTGGGCCAAGAAAGATCTAAACATCACAGACTTTGGGGGAGAATCTTTCAATGATAGAAAATTAGTATTTGATCTGGTTTCTTTAAGTGATGCCCTAGATAGATGCCACATAGAACAAAGTGAAGAGGTGCAGAATTTGCTTTCTGATTGCGCCTATCAGCCTGAGAATCATACCTTATGGGCTGATTCAAGCAATCAGTTGGATGGTGGCTCTCCGAAGCAAGGCATTGGAGAGCAGTTAGCTGAAAGAAATGCTGAGAGGGCTTCATTGTTATTCAAGTCTTCATCGGAAGTCAGCGATCTTGATTATTTTTTAAACCCTCAGAAAGCAACTGCTAGGAGAAATTGTAACTTAGCAGTAGAGTCTAGTGCTGCAGATGTTAATGTTTTAAAGGTTGCCTGTACTGACTTTAATGATAAGTATAGGCACACTGTTTTACAATCTCAAGGATGGAACATTGATTTGCACAAAGTTCTGTTGTCCAGTAACATTCTGGCTTTAGTTGGGAATTTTGAAAAATTTTATTGGGCTGTTTTGCAGGGTGAAACAGAACTGACACAGAACTCATCCATGGATCATTTTCAATTGATGAAACTTCCAAAACACAAGCTTATGGAATTACATGAAAATGGCAAAAATATGGCATTTGTTGTGTTATGTGCAATAAAACGGGCTGCTTGGTACTTGTGTTTCTATGGCCTACATCCAACGAGCTTGTACATAGACTTGTTATGTCAAAAATTGGAGTACTTGAAATTAAGATTTAGCTTCCTCCAATCCTTGATTAAGGATGAAAATAAGAAGATTGGTGACAAAATTACTCTAGCACATCCTGCTCTAGCTGTTTTTGACAAAATTTTACAGTCAAACATCAAACAGGATTGTATGAAGGTTTTGATTGTGACTGAAGAAGTTTTCTGGTGGTCTCTGAAATGTCTTCTTAACTCCATGGGATTATCATTTAATGAATTCCATAATACTCATGCAAATCAGCCATATGGTTATGACATAGTTGAGGACATTGATTCAAAATTGAAGAACCTTATGAATTCCAACTGCTTGATCGTATCATACAAGTAAGTTTTGGTTTCAGAATACTTATATTTCTTATTCACACATGCAAGAAAATATGCCATTTCCCTCTTTTTTTAGTGGTTAAAGTGATATGGTAATCATTGCTTTTAAAATTTATGTTGATGTATAATGGTGTTTTCTTTTTCATTCACTAGTTGTAGACAAAAGCAATGCAAGACAAACTTATATAACAATATTTCTAAGTTCATAGTGATTTTTTAATATTTCTCAGAACTAAGTTCTTAAGTATTTACAAATAGAATTACTTTCCCAATCCAATCTCTGCATCTCGTCACTGGTTTGTAATATAATTGCGTAAATGAATGAGTTGCCCGCATGTTTCTTGGTAGTTAATTATATGATCATACCTGAATGCATCAGAGAGTCAAGCATAGGGTGAGAAATTTCATTGTATTTCAGTGATTGGGGAAAAAAAAAAGTGCAGCCATCCTTATTCTTGGATTTCCCCCCTTTTTACTGGAGAAGATTTGAGACCGGGCTTAAAGCATTGTAGTTTATTTGGTTTTATGACTTGCTTCTCATAACAGGTGCTCACTAGCTGAATTTGCCTTATATTCTCAATTTTCTGTAATAGGTCGTTCAAAGACATTTCTAGTGGGGAATCATACAACTTTTGAGATAGTATCTTTATAACTGTTAAGCTTTAATATAGCAAATCTTGTAATGAGAACATGACTAAGACAAGCATCTTTAATTTCATTTTAGGCATAAAGGATAAATTACTTCCTCTTTGAGGGATTTCGAAATTATACAATCCTCCTCCTATTATAAAATTATAGACAAATCTCCCTTATAGTTGAAATATTACTGAAATAGTCTCAAATATTAATATTTATTCTTTTTATCAAAAATACAAATTAGAATTTTTTTTCCTTAAACTTTCGTCTCAATGTGAGTTACTGTGTTGAAAATCTTGAGTCTAATGTATTCTGCATTGATAAAAAATGATTCTTAGTCAAGCACATATTTAATACTTGTTGTGTTATGTAGATAACAAATGAAGGTATTTTGACCAAAATAGGTTAATTATAACTTTATTGCACGAGATGTTGGGAAAACAGTATTTGTAAACAGAAGGCAGGGTTGTATAATTTGGATAGCTCTGATAGAAATAGGGAAATTAATCCTTTTACTTATTCTAATAATGAGACCTAATATACCTCTCTTTTCATTTTTTTTTTTTACCAACCATATACCTCTTTTTAGATGAGTCTATAAGGATTTTAAATTTTTTTTAAAACTTATTTTTCCAGTTCCCAAACCTCTTCCTGTTCCTTTTAAATTCACTCACCTTTGGTGAAAATAAGCATATCTTCAACGAGATCCACCACCCTTGTGGAAACACCGGCCCCCGTTTTTTTTTTTTTTTTTTGTTTGGGAGGGGGTGTCGCTAAAAATGACTCATGAAAAAATAACAAGCGTTTTATTTTCTAAACTACAATAATTGCTGGACCTCATTGTTTCTTTCCTTGTATGATTCTGGGAAACTATATATTACCATAGGTTCCTCATATCATACTTAAATGTTTTCATCTTTTTCTTCCAACCTTTAAATTTTAATTGAAAATAATTGAAAACTGAATACTTTTACGTACAATTACTGCCGAAAAGCATGCACCCTAATTTTCCTACAGTGAAATCTTAATATTCCACGTTGACCAGCTATTAGTCAGCCCTTCTGTTCTTATTTCCTTCATCCTATTTACAAACTAAAGTGCTCTTCCACCTTAGTCCTGATGATTTTCAGAAGGCATTGACTATCTTTTTTAACTGGTTAAGTCTGTTCAAACCTCAGGCTTTGATGATGTAGAAATTTTCATTTTTTTTGATTCATTTTTTTATCAGGTGTACGATAAATTTAATCGCAAGCGGAACTGGTGAGGCTTAGGATCAGGAATGCAAAGCCACTAATTGGTTCACAAAAAGGAAAATCTAGGAAAAATAAAATATATGCAAGAGACAGAACTTGAAGCCATGATATCTTTTCAAATACAGTATAGAAGAAATTTTTTTGGCACGAGTATCATTCTCTGTTCTATGGTTTACTGACATCTATGCTTAATTGTTTTGCTCAAACGTTTTTGCTTTAGAAAGTTTTGCACGACAAATAACTAGTTCAAAGTATAAGCATTCGTTACTGGGGATTCAGACGTAGATGTTAGTAAGAACTTTTGTCATATAGGGGAAAAAAAAACACAGGTGACTGAAAACTTACGGAGCAACAATAGGATGTGAGGGTGTTTTAAAATGACAGATTTCATATTAGTTTGAGTCAATTCAATTTGTCACTTATTTATTGTGAGAGTCGATGCAGTATCGATGATATTTTATTGCTTCAGTTTTAAGCCGTCATAGTAATTTCTCCATTTAACTGAAGGCATATTTCTCCATTCTTCCCATTCAACAAGTTCGGCATTATTTTGGAATATGGTGGTCCAATTGGCTCGTCTAGAATATCCAATCTCTCACCAAACTCCCCTGGGTTGCCTCATCTTCACTTTCTTAAGGTGGAACTGGATGTCCATTCTGCTGTCAAAGCACTTTGTGAGGGTGTTGAAATGCCATTGGCTGCTGAAATGTCAATGGTAAGTCAATGCTTAAGCACGCATAGCTTCCTTTTCATGCTACAAATTATCATGTATTCTTCGAAATGGAACAATTTTGTCTAGATTTTGTAAGTGATACTTGTGCATGTGTCTCTTACTTTGCCTGCAGCTTATTTTAATTTCTAAAAATGACTGATATCTTCACTTTTGTGACTACTTTTTTAGTATACAGTCTATAAATATGTGACACCAATACAGAAAATACATGCACATCTCCCCTTTTCATTGGATTAAGCTGTATCTGTTATTGTTGCTCTTCATTCTTAGTACGTAAGTTGTTTATCATTCAATTTTTTAGTGTATATTAGTAATCTTTTGCGCTTAACGATCATTGTCCTAGGAAAATGAGATTCATAATACCATCAACCATAGCAAAACAATGATGAATCCCAAATTGGAGAAACTATTGAAGTTTTGTCCACTGGGGAAAAGCTGTGATATAAGATCTTCAGAGATGGCAGATGATGTAGAGTGTTTTGCGCCCCCGCTTTCTTCCAGGAATCCTGAACAAAGTCATCAAAGCATGAAATCTTTTCCTGAAACACTGATCATTGTGAATACTCAAAATGTAGGTAAAGAAATGATAGTGTCTAGAAGAAGCACTTATCAAGCCATTCTTGCAATGGAGAAACGAGGCATTCAAGTTGTTGAACGTGATTTAGATTTACCAGCGGATATCATTATCAGTTCATCAATTTGCTTAGTGTGGTACGACAGTAAAAGCCTGTGGAAGAAAGCAGCTCCAGTGACTGAAGCTTCTTCCAGCTTGCCTTTGTGTATTGAAAATATTGCAACAAATATTCTGACACTGCTGAGCTTTTCCTGTGATGGCTGCTTTTTGGTAAGCACAATTTTCTTAATATTTATATAGTAACAGAATCTGGTCTCTGCTTTAAAAACTTTCTACAGTAGACTGTAATGTCAAGTAGAAGAGCTCGAGAACGACTTGTGGTTCACAATATGGGTTCTTTATGACCTATTTCAAACATGACTAATTGGGGATTAACTTCTGCTCAGCCATTTAGATGATTCCTTCAATTAATGCGGCAAGCTGAAATACCCTGACACTCTAGTTTTAAAATTGGGTTTGAGTGGGGGGGGGGGGGAGGGATTTCTGTTTTCAGGATATTTTAGCAGTATCTCTTTAAGTTTACCAAAGGAAAACCTTTTCTTCTATTTCATTAATATGCTATAAAATATTTTTCTTATGCAAATACTATTGGATGGCAAAACTAGTTATTTTGGTTCTTTCCGTTGGTCAAATTAGAAGTAATAAGTTGGTCTCAATCTGTTCTCTTAGGCAGTTCGGCCATTAATCTTTGAGAACTTGATTATATTCTTTAGCTGTATACAAAGTGCTTCCCTGTTATCTTCATAAACATCTTTATCCATGTTATTGATAACAGTATACATGCCAGGCCAGGTCAGGTCGGGGCAGTATGGCATTTTATATGCTTGAGAGATAATAAGCGTTTGACACACAGGAGAAGATGCAAGAACTTAGTTGATCATGTTGTAAATGAAGGAGAAGCAAAATAATGGCTGCATAATAATAGATGAAAATGTGATTAACTAATAAAATTTGTGGGGAAGATTACTAATTGGGCATTATTTTTTTGTGAAGTTAATTGATTTCAACTCTTTTTGTTCTCATTTTAGGTTTTTGAGGGAGAAGTTAACTTTATTTCAACCATAATGGAATCCTCAGATGGACTTTATGCTGCAGCAGCAAGCCTGGGAATTGATTTGCAGACATTGTTCTCTTACTCACCTGAGTTCACAAATGAAATTATAGTAAGCTGCATCAATTATGCTACCAAATTGACAAGGGGTCTGTATCCTAAAATGGCTGATTCACTAACACTCGCTGAGTCATTTTTAACGAAATTTCCTTCTATAAATTCTTTGGTAGCACATGCCATACTGTCTACAGGGGCCACACTAACCGAGTTTCTTGGGTGGTCACATGAACATAGGATAAATGTTTTGGAAAGGTATCATGTTCCTGAAGAAAGCATTTCTCTATTTAGTGCTCTCTGCAAATATGGGGAGCGGGAGGATTCAAAATCTATAATGACAGACTGCTCCTCTTCCGTATCTTCTGGCCCAGATTCAGATAAATGTCATTTGTATCAAGTCGATTATGGAAGAAAAAGGAAAAAACACATAGGAAGCTCCGAAGAATTTGAACCCTTTTCAGATGAATTATTGCAGTTTGAGCCACTACAAGAAACTGATGCGTTCCTAGATTCTTCTAATATTTCGAAACCTTGTATCCCTGGTAAATCAAATTACGTTGGAAGATTCACTGACTTAACAAAGAAAGGATTCAGTGAGATTACCACAATGAAAACTCCTTCCAAAGTATCCCAGCCATCCTGTGATTCTTGTAGCCACAAAGCTCCTCTAATATTGGAACAGAAAAAACAACCATCTTTTTCTTTCGAAGATGAAGGGTTGGTTCCGAATGATAAACTGGACACTGCTAGGATGAGCAAAAATTTGACCTGGCGTGACCACAGTTTTTCTGAGAAGCTGGATGAGGACGTTACAGGCGAGGTTGTTGACTTAACTGAGGAGGCCCCACTAAATAAAAAATTCTCTTTTGTTGCTGACTCAGAGAATTTTCCTGGCGCCAACTTCATGAATTTCCCAGATTTGATGTCTGAGATAGAGCAAGAACAGATACAGAATAATATCAGGAGAAGATTGTCATTTGGTAAGTTGAGTCAGCCAGAGTTTAAAAGTAATATCTGGAAGCCTTCGAATCATACACGAGGGGAAGTTGAGAATATCCCAGAACCAGTTTTTGGGATGGACGTCTCTACTCTTAATGCCAAACACAGTGAAAGGATGTCTGACGAGGATTTGGCTCCGGCATCAAAGAGAAACCTCCAAGGATCGCCCTTTCAAAAGGAGATGTCACATTTGGGTGGAACTCCACTTTCACGTGCTCTTCATTCAGCTAGTCCATTAAAAAATTCACCTTGGACAATAGAATTTATCAATAGAATCAAAGAAAAGAGCAGATTGCGTCAAAAAGCATTATCATGTCACAAGTCTGTCTCTTGTTTTGGGTACTCAGGCAGTACGTCGGAAGTTGTTAATAGAAGACCTCCTCCTCCTCCTCCTGAGTTTTTCGCATATCAAGGTAGTAGAACTGAAAATATTCCCAAACATAAGAGACAGAAGCAATGTGTACAACCTTTGAAGCCAGCCAAGAATGGGAAACATTCTGCCTCAATGCTCCCTACATGGACACCTAATGATAAGAGAGCAACAAAGGTATGTCCAAATTCTCTTCTTTAGTTCTTTATTGCAGTGGTGAAGTAATACTTGGTTTAAATGGAGGGAAAGTGGAAAGAAAGTAGGGAGCAGTGAAAACTTGGTGGAAAAATTTCCAAAACTAGTAAACTTGTTTATTACTTTTAGGAGTTTTTTTTTTTCTTTTCTTTTCTCCATGTTTTTCTCCCCATCCTTGCAAAATTACAGCCTTTAGTTCCATAATAACTGTAAAACGTCAGTGCAACTAAAATTTTTCTAAACTCTAGTGAAGTCTTGGGAATTTGATGATTTCAATAATTATTTAAATGTTGTCATTTATGGGAGCAGGAAGGGGAATTAAATCAAACAATACCAAAAATGTAGTGAAAATTCTTATTCAATATTGGAATTCAGGTTGAGTTTTAAACAGAGCTCAATTTACTTTATTCTTCTTCAGACAAGTACTGGCAAAACAATATTTTAAAACTTAAATCACAGAATCTAAAATTTTCAAGCTGCCTATGGTATAAGCTTTAATTCTCTAATATATTGCATATAAAATATGAACGGTGTAAGCAATTTTGTTTAATAAAGTACTTAATAAAAAAACGTTAAAGCAAATTGGTATTGACAAGTAATACCTTTATTGAAAGGGCATGAATTCAGATGTTATGGTGAAATTCTATGCTTGATGCATGAATTGTTACATAGTACATTAGGCCTCATTTCCTAGTCTATTATGACAAACACTTGCTAGAATTCACGCACTATTCTGAATAATGAGTTCTGCTTATTGTTTTATGCTCAAACTCTTCTGCTAATACTTGTCTACGCACACATAAATCTTGAAGCAGTTATTGTTGCTTGTTTAAAACTTGGCAGACGTTGACTTTTGCAGTGAAGGAAAGTCAAAGTCAAACTAAGTTGGTTTGGAATGAGGAAACTCAAGGTCAGGCCAAGAGGTTTCGGTATCAGACACAAAAGTCGCTCTAGGGTTCGCATAGAAAATGGAGATTTTATATTATACGAAAGTTGGATGTACATTTTTTGTTTTTTTTGGGTTACAATAGAGAGTACAAACATGTGGCTGTTAGTTATATAATGGTCTTGGGTTTTGGCAGGTTTAAGAACTTTTCCTTTTAAAATTAGTGCTATATTACTTGTGCCTTTTATTTTTCTTTCTTTCTTTCGTTATTTCTCTCTCCTCCAAATCTCCTATATTAATTTTGAATCACTGAATTTTAAGAGTATAAGTTTAATTTACTTAAATTTTAACATATTGATAATGTTTTTAAAGTATGAATTTTGAATAATTTAAATTTTATATAAATGGTTTAATTATTGATAATGTTTTCAAAGCACGAGAGACAAAATTTAATTTATATACTGTTCAAAATTATTAAGACTCACATTTTACTTAATTTTAGGATTAAAAATTGAGTCAGATTGCTTCAACATTAACATTTAACTAGAGCTGAGAATACGGGCGGGCTCGACCCTTAAGGACCTGGCCCTTATGGGCTTGGCCCTTTAGGGCTTGAGCCCTAAAGCTCAGTTTTTCATTTTGACCCCCATTTCTCAAGCCTGGCTCTTATACTCAGGGCTTAGGGCTAGGCCCGTAAGCCCTTTTTTAAAAAATAAAAAAATTAAAATAAAATTAAACATTATAAATAAATTAAAATATTTTAAAATTAAAAAAATTAAAATCATCATAATTTTTTAAAAATTAAATAACATACATTAGAAGTCTAGTAATAAAATTTAAATCTTCATTTAAAAAATAGTTCATTTTTTTATAAATATACAAACATAATAATTATAGAAAAATAAAAAATATCATAAATTTTATACTATACACTAATGTTTATAAAATTAGATTAAATTAATTTTAGAATAAATTAAAATTAATAATAATATAATATGTGTAGGATTAGGTGAGCAGGTCATTGATTTCAAACACGTGTTTTACTAAAAAAAATAATAATAAAAATAATATAATAGGGCTTGAAGGGTAGCCCGGACCCGAGCCCTATTTTACAGGGCTTATCAGGGCCAAGCCCTCAAGCCCGATTATTTTAAAAAAAATTTATTTTCAAAGCCCGAACCCTTATTTAAATAGAATTTTCAGGCCCGGCCTTCCAGGCCCAACCTTTATTCCCGGCTTTACATTTAACATGATCTCTGTTTCAAAAAAATAAATAAATAAATAAATTTAGACTACCACTCTACAAGGCTTCGAGCTATCACATCTTGATCTGAGTCTTTATGTTCCTTCTGTTTTTCTTGTTTTTTAATTCTGGAACCACATCTTCCAGGTGGAATATGTCTTCTACGTTTATTCAAAACATGATCAAATATTTCAAACTTATCTTTAAAAAAAAAAAAAGTACTCATCTGCCTTTTTTTTTTTTGGCACAGTTGGCAAAACGGATAAGATCCTCTCATAATCCCTCTCCCACTTTTTTCTCTCCTTATCTCATCCCCATGTCCTCAGATTAAAAAATGAATGGTTAAAATGATTAGACCAATGATAAACTTTAGTAAAAGTAAAAGAACATATAACTAAAAAAAGAATGAACGAATTTTGAGTATAATTTTGGTATAAAAATTTTATAATTTAACTATTTATTATCAAATTTATGCTAGACTTGTAATAGGTGAAAAATGTCTTAACTATGCTCATAGAATTCTTTAGAAGAACATTAACATATAGCCACTTGATGCTAATTCGAATAGTAATACTAAGATGAGGCGTGAGTAAAAGTTGAAATTCAAGAAAAAATATATTCCAAATGATCACAACTCACAAGAAGAAAATAGAAGAAAATCCACGTGTAGAATACCAAAATTCTTTACCATACCACCACCTTTCGGGTAACATTATATCATCCAAAATGAATCATAAAGGGAGAAGCTTTTCAAATTAGCACCGTTGCTTTGTACATGCCCAAGTATAATCATTTAATTTTATTTATATAGTAGAGTTTTATTTTAATTAGTTTGTATTACAAAGATAATATGGTGGATAAAAGAGCTCATTTCATTTGTTGAAGGAGTATTGCTTATTTGTAAACACTAGCCTTTACTACCCCTTGCATTGCACGGGAAACAATACATTATATGAATTTAATTATATTCAACTACAAAACATTTAATCTAAGCTATTTTTAAACAATTACTAAAAAAATTATAAAAGTATCACTTCAACGTATATTAAAATTGTTACGCTAATAGTCATGTCTTATAATAATTGCATTTATCGAATTACATATAAAATAAAAAATGTCTTCATTGGTTTTAAAAACAAACACATGTTACACCAAATTTTTAAAAATTTCTCTATAAACAACATTTGTTGGAGTAAATGTCCCTTAGGGCAAGAGAATCATCAAGCCATCCTTGCTCTTAACTCTTGATAGTGCTACATATAATTGACCATGTGTGAATAATGGCTTTGGCAGAGATAATCTAACATTTCACAATGACTGCCCTTGACTTTTGTTGATCGTCATTACAAATGAAACAATAATAGGGAATTGTCTCCTTTACATGTGAAAAGGCCATCTACTTTCTGAGAGATTTATGTCCATTCAATGAATCAAGACTTTCTCATTTTGCTTTGTATCATTCAAAGTTATGGCTTCTATGACATTTCTTCCAACATGAGTGGTGTGTAACCTTGTGCCATTGCATAGACTAAAGGCTTGTTTTATATTATGGAGTAACATTATAGGGATCCCAACCTTCAAGTAAAGCTTATGAGGAGGTAATCCGGAGTAAGTGATTGTGTTATGAAACTTAGTATTATACAAATCATCAAAGGAATTACTATCTTCTGTTGACTTGCAAATGGAATCACAACTTGAAAACTCAGTAGATTCACCAGGAAGTAAAGAGCACATGTAATCATTAACTTGATTAACAACTTCAATGGTAGGAGCAAGATTGTTGTATCATTGAAATATTGAGTGTTAGATAAATTATCATGCAAATTTGGATAAGTAGATGACACAATTGCTTCCATCGCATTTTTATAGTTAGAAAGCAATAAATCATGAGGAACCTCTATCTCAGCTCCATAATCATGTGGTTGGCCTAACTTCCCATCACCCATATCTAATAGCCATTGTGAAAATTTCTTCAAATCTTCATCATCACTGGTGATAAATGCATATTCTTCTTAAGTTGAAAAACTCTACAGTGGTCCTACAAGTGTGAAGAACTAATGCATGCATTTACAATTGATACTTTTGTTCCTTTTAAAATGATAGGAAGGATTTGGCAAAAATCACCACCCATGACAACACATTTCACACCAAATGGATATTAGAATGCATTATATCCCTAAGTGTGCAGTCAAAGGCTTCAACACAATAGCATTGCACCATTGGTGCTTCATCCCATATGAATAACTTTGTTACTTCAATTAAATATGCTAATGCAAAGTTTTGTTTTATGCAACAAACAGAGTTTTCAATTATTTGCATAGGGATTGCAAACCTTGAATGTGCTATCCTTCCGGATGGCAATAAAGTTGTTGCAATTCTGCTTGATGCCACAGTCAAAACTATATCTCCCTTTGCACGAAGTGATGAAGATCATGCATTTCATAGGAATGTTTTGTCAGTTCCTCCATAACCATAGACAAAAAAAAATCCTCTTGTTTGTGAAGATACTGAGGACATGACTATATTATAAATATATCTTTGCTCATCATTGAATGAACTAATTAGCCTTGAAGCTTCTACATGCAAGGTATCTCAATCATAGTTCAATTCTTGTAGTATCAAATGGTTGGTGATTTCAAATATTGAAGCTTCTTAAGGTAATGGTAAGGATAGATAACTTTGAAGTGATCTCCCATTACTTTTTAGAAAGTGATTAATCTTATGTAGTACAGCTTGCTCCTTCTCAAAGATTGGCATGTCAACTGCTATAATGTATAAAAAAAATTAAATGATTATTTATAAATATTTTGCAAAACATTTTAATTGATAATAATTGGATTGAAAAATTTTCAAATTACTTGATAGGATTTAATCATTTCTGGAGATATATAACAGATCTTCAGATAAAATTTTTGAAGTATCATTCTATGCAAAGTCAAGTATGAACATAATAGCATAGTCACAAACATTCTTCTCAATAATGTTCCTGAAGCCTAAGTCACAGCTTCATGTATTGCATTTATGTATTCCCTATCATCATCTAGTAATCCTAATGCAAAGCAAGCATCTTTAAATGTTTTGTAGATTAATTGACAATTTTAATGGCATCATATGAAGAAGGACCTCTAACCTTTGTCAAAAGAATTCTGAGATAATATAACTCTCCAGATGATAGAGTTACATGAGTAATCCTACCAATAGCAAAACCACGTTCCATTCTTTTCTAGGATCGTTTTGTTCTTTGATAAACATAATGATGAGGGAACTCAATTATGTAAGTGTTTGGGCAGCCTCATCCCATTCATTACTTTTCATCCAAGCTAGAAATTGTGACTCACATACTCTCTGTTTATCCAATAATTCAACTACACCATCATCATTAGAATAAATAACAGATTGTTGATTGGGAGATGAAAACATAATCTCTCAACAGAAAAAAATCTGTGATGTATGTCAAAACTAAATATATGCCAAGATCCCTCACATATAGGTATATATTGACAATTATAGTATTGTTGAATCTCATCATGATTGCCATATGCTATAGCAACCACCCTATCATTCCCTTTGCTTATGTACTTAAATAAGTACTTAATGGATGTAGATTGATTACATTTCTCAACATTAATATGTGCTTGGTACATGCCTAAAAGCATTGGATTATATGGCACAATATATCTATTATCAAGAGGAATACCTTTGACTTCAATCATTTTACTATCATCCCTTCTTCTGTATGTAGGATAGCCATCATCATCAATTTGTGTTGCATCATTGAATTTCTTTAGAAGGTACTTACTACACTTCTTATCTTGTATACATGGTGAATTTGGATTGCTCTTCCCATAAGGACTATGGATCATAAATTTCTTTACCAGTTCATGCAACAATGGTGATGATGTTTTGTTTGGAATTTTAGTTGAAATAATTTTGTCAACCTTAGTTGCATCTATTATTTTGTCTCTTTGATCTATGAATAAGATAAT